AGGTATTTTGGTTGGGTGTATGCTGGTTTTCATATCTTAAATCCAATTAAGGGTGATTAACTTGTGTATATTAATCTTAACCATGTTTCTCATCCACAAGTTAAATTTGCAGAAACTTCAATAATGGATCTAGATATTATGCGTACATAAGAAATGGTCATAGGTGATTATGCATGCGGAATAAGAAAAGTAAGCTATAACACCATGATTATATATTATGCCATGACAAATATAAAACGTGAATAGTGTCTTTAAAACTTGATTCCCATCCACTACTGTTTGATTGCAATATACTATAGATAACAAACTTTTCCTCAGTAAAATGAACCAAAAAAAATGATAAATTTACTGAGCAATATAGGTGAACATAATCGAATGTACGTGCATCCATTACAGAGATTTATAACATAAGGTTCACAGAAATGGGAAGAGTGAAAATAGTGAAATAGAGAGGACAGTGGAGCATACATTGATTGAAGCCGTATCGTCCTGCGGAGGAGGGTAGTTGATGTGGCACATATCTCCCAACATTTTAGCATTAGACAAAGACGTCTCTTTCATAAGTTCACTGAAATTCTTAATCATGAGCCCTGCATCACTTCCCCCGTACCCAACTTCTTCCAATTGGCTACACTCTTCGTGACCCCTCAACCGCCCCAAATTAAAATCCCATATCGGTAGCAAACTGACCAACTTGCCGTTACTGTTTACGGAGCAGTAAGATTTTTTCCAAAAAAATATAAAAAAAGGATTTCCGACCAGTAAAAAAGAAAAAATTACCTGAGGAGTTTGACCATTTGGATGTGTGTAAATTAAAACATTACCCATAGTTGTTACACAGCATGCATGTAAAACACATCACTTGTCATGTAAATTTGTCTGTACATGAGGTGTAGTGTAGTAAACATGACATGTAGCAAAATCATTAGAACATTGCCTAGAGTTGTTACACACCATGCACGTAACATCTCTAATGCACATGGCGTGTAGCAAAATCATTAGAACATTACCCAGAGTTGTTACATGCCATGCATGTAACATCTCTAATGCACATGACATGTAAAAAATATATTGAAATAACATGTTTAAGAACATGGCATGTAACATTTTTTTTGAACACGGCATTTAACATGTTGTCAACATGGCATGTAACAATTTTTTTGAACATGACATATAACAAAATTTTTTTAACATAACATTTTGTATAACAACATGTTTTCAACAGGGCGTGTAGCAAAATTTTAGAACACAACATGTAATGTGTAAATTAACTAACATTTTTTTCAAAATTTTAGTGTCATTCCAATTGTGTGACTTGTGATAAGACATGGTGATTAGTAGGTCAATGGCATTTACAAGGGTGGTGAGTCACGAATGCGAAGCGTTAAAGAGTGATTTGTCATTTGCAAGCTTGATGAAGGTGGTTGAAGATGTTATTGAGGTAAACTCACAAATTCATGAAATTGAGTTACATGCATTGATCAATACACCTGGAGAGCTATCATGCTCAATTATCAAAGATGATGAGGATGTTGCATTAATTTTGCTGTAACTGAGGAATGTTCCAGTAGTGTATGTCACCATTAAAGAATGCCATACAAATGTTATGGCACATGAAAAAGTTGTACAACATGGTAATCACCTCAATCAAAATATGATTCACAATGCTTCACATATACCACAACATTCGGTCCCTAACCCACAACAATGGCAATTTACATATGCACATAAGTTTCTACAACTAGATAGACACACGACATTCACAGAATAATTGGCTGCACAATTCCAATTAGCATGCGCATCGAACCAATTACTTGCTTGTGTCCAACAAATGCAACCATTGGGTGAAATTGTAAAGGGTGTAATGCCATTCTCAAATGAGAATATGACACTTAAAGATGACACTACTGTCAGTTAAAATTTCACTATGCAAGTATATGTATTGAATAGATAGTATATTAGTAAGCAGAGTATCGATCCCATAGGTAATTGATATAAAAGTTTACTAAGTACTAAAATTATAGCAAATTAATCTTATCTAAACAATCAATATCAATAACTAAATTAATTAATTAAAAACACTTAACCAAGATTTAAACTAAGAAAAATCAAAATAATAAATATTCAAAAAATATCAATTTAGACAAGCCTAGGATTACAGTATCCCTCACACTTCATTTAAATCTTACCTCTCTTCCTTAACTTATTTCAATGATTTGAATTGTTAACCTATAGTCCTAAATTATTTATAAGGGTCTCTCGACTCATCTTATAAAAATATCTACTTTAACCAAGATACTATATCTCTATATGAATTGAAATTAAAATAGATTCATTAAGTTCAGGCTCTAATCTGGTTACATATGGCCTATAGGTATATCCCTATCATACACATAAATCAAGTAATATGATCATATGCTATCCCAATTTTAGTTTACACAAAGCTCCCTTTTTCAAGTTTGTTTAGGTTCCTAAATCAATTTAACTGGTGGCCAAGC